GAGCACAGAAGATGTCTGTGAGGTAGAAACACAGGCTGCAATATTAACACTACATCCTTAGTATTCCAACTTGTCTTGTCCCTTCCTAGGAAGAAAGTCTCATCCATAGGCATTTTAGCCATAGGACAGGTGTATGAGACTTCTCACAGGAGAAAACTTGATGTTGTGTGACACATCAGCATTAAGGGTTGAGTACACTGTTGGAGAAGCTAGGTCTTAGTTAACACTTTCATGAAGCCTCCTGACTTCATGGTAGGTAGGTAAAGGTCTATTGTCCTGTCTCTCAGACCTACTTGTTCTGTTCAAGAGATAAAGTATTTCACCTCTCACCTTATTGCTTAAGGATGCCGTATGAACTGACAGAGCAGCAGGAGATTCAGCTCTAAAGCCAATAGTCTGTCCTTAACTGGCCCCATAATATCTGAGCTTTGAGATTTAAGGTGACATGCACCAGCTATGATGCTTTATTAGAAGCTTCTAAAAGATAACCAACCAACCAAAATAACCAACCAACCAAAAATCCCACAGTTTAGAGTGAAGGTCTGCAGGGTATTTCGGCTGAGACACTTCATCTTCAGGCACTCCACAGCATATGCAAGGCACATCCTTTCAGAAGAGGGGAAACTGGAATGGTCTATGCTCCCATCAACCAGGGCTGACAACAGATAGATGGGAGAAGATGCTTTGTTCATCACTTAGCTGTCCAGCTCCTATAAACAAGTTAATCCTGTTGAAACTGGTACCTCTTGTTTATTGACTAGGCCTGCCACTATGCTTCATCCAGCTTCTCTGTAACCCTGAGACCCTTGAACCCACACACAGCCTCAAAATCAGGTTTCTAAAATCAGTTTGTTTTGTCAGTTATGGTACTTAGACACATTGTTCTATCCGATTCTTCTAACACAACCCCCAGTTGTATTTCTGTGGAGTCCATGCTGAGGTAGAGGAGGAGCAGCTTATGCTTGGTTGTGTTTCACAGCAGTAGCTCATTAAGACCTCTTAGCATTTCTCCTCCCCTCCCCCAGAGGTAGGGTCTTGATTCTACTAATAATCCCTTAGTCTACATGCAAGATCTAGGTTTTTCTCAAAAGTCCTTGCAGATTACAAGTTACCTTCATGCTATCCCTTCATCATTTCTTTTGATAGAAACTAGCCAGCAAGCAGGATTTGCACCATCAGTACTGTTTCCAGAACAAGCTGGCTTTCTCTGGATGTGGAATTTAGTGCTTCGTTATCCAAGCAAATTCGTGCTTCTGTAGTGCTCACATATTGCTAGCCTTGCTGAATAAAGTCCACAAACATTCCCAAGAACTGGATTAACCCAGCAGGTCACACAAATGTCCTAGTACTGTAAAATTCACCAGGAGAGAAGAGCATCAATAGGAGAAAAAAATCTGTAGGTTTGGCAACAATATTCAATGACTACAGCATATTATGCACTTTCATTTACTTCATATTTTAAGCTATGGGTTTTATCTCAAACATCCTGTCCAGACAACAGCCCTTGATTCCCCCTTCCTTGACACCAAGTGCATTTATTTGCTTTACCACAGAGACAAAAATCTAAGAGCTCCTCTTGCCACCCTTTGCATATATTACATTCAGCTGTTTATAGTGCTTCTTTCCATATCTGCTTGTGATGTAAAGGCCTTAAGCAAGACGTATATCCATAGCAGCTACTTGTCTGCAGTCTCCAATAATAGGGTTATGCAGGCACTTTGGCAAGTAATGCTCTTCTCAATGATAAAGTGGGTTGTGTACTGCAGATGCATAGAGATACTTGGAAACATAGCAGAAGGCACACATTAGAATGGATAACCATCTCTACCTTCAGAAAAGGAAGCTGATGCCAGATTTTTGGCATTTGGCCCATCCTTCCAACTGACAGTGCTGAGCACAACCTCTGGTGCTCAGCCAATAGCTTTGTTTCAAGTAAGAGCACAAGAGATGAGAAGTATCCTAAGTCACAGGACTATCAGAGTAGTGCTTGTCATTCTCCCAGTCTCCTGTCTGCAGTGAAAAGCACACAAGACCCTGTTAGATTCCCCTCAGCAGAACCACCTCTTCATTTAAGACTTGGACCACCTGGCATTCACTCCACTTTACACTGAGCCTTCCTATACCCTAAGTCATGAAGTTTGCTAGTTAAGCTGCTGTTCTGATGGTTCACCTGACATTCATTTAGCACTCACATCCTCCTTACCCATATTGGGTTTGTGTGGCAAGGTTTTGGTAGTGGGGGGTTACAGGCATGGCTTCTGTGAGAAGCTGCTAGAAGCTTCCCCTATGTCTGACAGAGCCAATGCCAGCGAGCTCTAAGACAGACCCATTGCCAGCCAAGGCCAAGCCCATCAGCGATAGCACCTCTGTGATAACAGATTTAAGAAGGGAAAAAAGTTGCAGCAGGCACAGAAACACCAGCTGGAGAGAGGAGTGAGAACATGTGAGAGAAACAACCCTGCAGACCCCAAGGTCAGTGAAGAAGGAGGGGGAGAAGGTGCTCCAGGCACCAGAGCAGAGATTCCCCTGCAGCCCGCGGGGAAGACCATGGTGAGGCAGGCTGTCCCCCTGCAGCCCAGGGAGGTCCAGAGCAGATATCCACCTGCAGCCCAGGGAGAGAGGACCCCAATGCTAAGCAGGTGGGTGCCTGAAGGAGGCTGTGACCCCATGGGAAGCCCATGCTGGAGCAGGCTCCTGGCAGGAGCTGCAGATCTGCAGAAGGAGGAGCCCACGCTGGAGCAGGTTTTCTGGCAGGACGTGTGACCCTGCGGGGGACCCACACTGGAGAAGTCTGTGCCTGAAGAACTGCAGCCCATGGAAGGGACCCATGTTGGAGAAGTCCATGGAGGACTGTCTCCCATGGGAGGGACCCCACGCTGGAGTAGGGGAGAGTGTGAGGAGTCCTGCCCCTGCAGAGGATGAAGCAGCAGAGATAATGTGTGATGAACCAGCCCCAACTCCCATTCCCCATCTCACTGCGCCACTAGGTGGGCGGGTAGGTAGAGAATCTGGGAGTGAAGCTGTGCCCAGGAAGAAGGGAGGAGTGGAGGGAAGGTGTTTTGAGATTTGGTTTTATTTTGCATTACCCTACTCCAGCTGATTAGCAATAAATTTAGTTAATTTTCCCCAAGTTGAGTCTGTTTTGCCCATGATGGTAATGGGTTGAGTGATCTCTCCCTGTCCTTATCTCAACCCACAAACCCTTTGTTATATTTTCTCTCTCCTGTCCAGCTGAGGGGGGGAGTGATAGCACAGCTTTGGTGGGCACCTGGCATCCAGCCAGGGGTAACCCACCACATTACCACTTCTATCACTTGGTTCTCCTCCACCAATTGCAAACTCTAGTGCATTACTATTAATAGAAATTTCTGCTTTAGACTTGACCACATCCTCAGAACCTTCTGAGAATTTTGTAAACCTGATTATGCCTCAGGAACCATTGTGTTGGATGCAACTGCAGTGATTCTTTGAACAGATATGGTGGATGACTCCTTCAAACAATCCCCTTCTCAGCTGAAAAGATTTTCTTTGGATTCTGATTTGCCTCTCCAATTAGCCACCTACTGCCTCACCCACCTCCTGGAAAGGTCCTAATGGAAGCTGATCAGAAGACCTGCTAGCATTATAACTGCCTAACAAGTCACTATCAGACACAAGGACATATTTTCAATTTACCAGGGCCTGGTAAGTCCTCACAGCCAGCTACAATACATAGCTTCATAATTACTTTTCTCTAATCAAATCAGCATCTCTATCTCACCTATCTACACAGGTGTTCCTATCCCTAAGTATACATATGCCCATTCCTTAGCATGCAATGGTCAAATCTAAGCCTGCATGCTCAGCTCAGATTTGGTCCATTTTGGGCAGCCTTTTTAATGGAAGTTACAGAAGACTTCTGAGGCAAAAGACGCAGCATTTTAAGGTAAACTACCTTTGTTAAGAGAACATTGGACCCCCCCCCCAAAAAAAAATCCTACCTGACCAGTGGATTTGCATGCTTGTCTGGTAAGGGTTCAAGTAACCAGCCTCAGCTTATCTGAGGGGCAGAAACTCTGCTACAGAGAAGTCCAGTTGTATTAGCAACAGCTGCATTTATCTTACTGTTCTGGCAGTAAGCACCAGCATTACCCCAACATAAGTGTCATCATATGATGATCATTAGACTTTAAGTCTCACCAGCTGAGAAGTCAGTTTCTCTCACAAGGTAGAAGACTCATTCCAGTTAATACTGGACACCTTTAACTATACCCATTTACCACAGACAGAAGTAGTAGTCTGAGATTCAACAGCCAACAGAGGGGTGCCCAGCAAGGGTGCTCCATCCAAAACCAGACCAAACCCCTACACCTGCTTCACAGCATCCTAACCCGTTCCTCCTCTCTGCTACTAGAGAGATTATTGCACATCGGTTATCTATATGAAATTTAGGTTTTACATAGCTTTTTTTCCCCCCGCTCCACTCACAAAAATGAAAACGCACGTTTATTTCCCTTCGCGCTCAAGCCGCCTCAAGGCGCCGGTCCCGCCAGAGCCCGGAGCGGGACGCAGGCGGCTTCCAGCCCGCCTCAGCCGGGACACGCTCCCCGCAGCCCGGACCGGGCAGCGCCCAGCT